TGCTTAGCCTCTTTCTGACTCATTTTTTTTATATATATACATAATTCTTCATTTTTGAGTTCAAGTATGCAGCGTTGCTTATCTGTTGCACATATGTAAGGTATACAGTACAGTTTGCCATAAGTGTGTTGGCCGATAATCTTATACACTGAAATATATAGTGGCCTATGGTGATACATTTCATGGAATCGTCTACTTTAGAGTCTCGTTGGAGCTGGGCTTCAGCCGCACTTTGTTCCAGTTGTTAGGGCTTTCTGCCTAATGCTATTGATCATTCAGTCTTCCTCACTCTTTTTTTTATTTTTTTATAATTACTAAATGCTAACTTTTAGTTTTTTACTATTTTGACCACAAATGCGGAGTACCACAGTGGTTTCTTAATTTTTTTGCTTTTACTGACAAGCCTAATGCAATTTCTGTTGCCTTTAGTAGTGCAACTTTTAAATAATCCCATTTCTCTTGGGCTCCCTTTAAATTGCTCCAGTCTGATAATGACTCCTTTACACATATTCTAATTTTAGAAAGTCTGTTTTTCTAAAGTCTAAAACTTTTGTTTTTGTTTAACTCAGTCACTGTTCTAATATTAAACAACACCGACTGATGATTACTGGATCCTAAACATTCCCCTACAGTAATATCTGATATCAAATCTCCATTTGTTAAGACTAAATCTAGTATGGCTTCTTTACGAGTTGGCTCCTCAACGACTTGTTTTTGAGACAATCCCAGTAGGGAGTTTAGAATATGTGTGCTCCTGGCACAATCAGCTATTTTTGATTTCCAATTCACATCAGGAAGATTAAAGTCACCCATGATAATAACGTACCCCTTCATTGTCATTTTAGCTATTTCCTCAACTAGTAGATCATCCAAATCTTCTATTTGTCCAGGGGGCCTATAAATCACATCTACACGAGTTACTGTGTGATTACCAAATTCTAATGTAACCCTAACGGACTCTATGTTTGCCCCACTAACTTTTATTAGGCTAGATTTTATGCTATCCTTCACATATAGGGCCACCCCTCCTCCCCCTTCCTTGACTTCCCTGTCTTTTCTATATAAAGAGTACCCTTGTTTTGCGATGTCCCAGTCATTTTTCTCATTATACCATGTCTCAGTAACAACCACTAAATCTACATTATCAGTTTGCCATTATTGCCCCAAGTTCATGGATCTTATTCCCTAAACTGCGAGCATTTGTAGACATGACTCTAAGCTTATCATTTGTTAATACACCTGCTACAGTAACCTTCTGTCCTTGTTTTGGGGGGCAATTGGATTGATGTTTTATCACATTTTTGCCCCCCCTAGTTTATATACATCCTAGCAAAACCTCTGAACTGCTCACTGAGAACATTTGTTCCCTTTTGAAAAAGATGCAAACCATCTTATTTGTACAGTTTATTTCCATTCTAAACAGAGCTACCATGAAAAATGAAGCCAAATCCTTGCTCCCGACACCATTTGCCAAGCCACAAGTTAAAGTTCGTAATACGCATCCACCTGTCATTCTGAGTGTTAGGCACAGGCAGAACTTCCGAGAATGACAGTGTGGAAGCAACCTGCCGTATATCATTGTCAAAATCACTAAAAACTTCCTTAACCCCTGAAACCTCATTGCAAGCCAAGTCATTTGTCCCTAGATAGACAAGTACATCCAATTCCCCTTCTGCTTTGCTCGCTTAACAATATTACAAATACGTCTCCTGTCTCTGTGAGCAGTAGCTCCGGGAAGACATCTCACAAGACCACCATTGTCCAGCTCCACACCTCTTATGATGGAATCCCTCAACAACAACTGCTTTCTATTAGGCCTCACCATAGTCTCCAAGCCTGTCTCCATAATACTACTACACTTGGTGCCTGAGCCTGTCTCCACAACACCACTAGCCGCGGTGCCTGAACTTATTTCCACAACACCACTACCCTCAGTGCCTGAGTCTGTCTCCACAACACCACTACCCTCAGTTCCTGAGCCTGTCTCCACACCACCAAATGCCCAAATCATGTCTTTAAAGGGCAATACATCCCAGGAGCCATAGTCACATGGCAGGAGGCGGGCAATCAGTCCTCTCCAATGCCCAGTGGCAAGGTCGGTTTCGCCACACAAGATAATTTACAAATCTCAGACTTTAAAAATATAATCTTCTGCCGCAATGTAGAGAACGGTTTACAGATTAGACAGCATCTATATCTCCAAAAAGTGGAAAGTGGAACTTGTCCCAGTAATCAAAGCAGCCAGCCAACAGGTCCAAAAACTCTGTTAATGAGATCCCTGAACAAATCACACAGTTCCCAAAGTTATTAACACACTACTATATTTTTGGACAAGAACTAGGTTTTGGTGACTTCCTTAAAAGGAAACTCCAGTTTTCCTGGCACTGCAGGTCCCCTCTCCCTCCCACCCCCCAATCCCAGGTTGCTGAATGGATGAAAACCCCTTCAGTAACTTACCTAAGGCAGCGACGATGTCCCACGTCGCTGCTTCCTCCTCCACCCCCACTCCTCCTCTGCATTGCGTTGGCCTGTGGGCGAGACTGATCCTGCCCACCAGCCAGGGAGACCTAATGCACATGCGCGGCAAATATGCCACAATCACATCTTTCCAAACTATAGAAAAACAGATATACAGATGCAACTGGTTAGTTTTTTTTGTTTGTTTTTTTTGCAGTTTCCTAATTTGCATATTGTGATTGTAGAAATTAATGTATTTTCCAGTTTCATCAACAGAGTGCAATAGAGAGTCATTAAAATTTGAAAAACAGTTGCAAAACCAAACCAGGCAGTTTGAATGACCCAGTGTACCTGCGTCCACATAACAAAACCCTATAACAGGCCAGGGCCCATAGTCAGTGGGAAGAAGGCAGTCCTCTCCAAGTGGTAACGCTTCCTTTATAAGTATATTTAATACCAGGGGGAGTAGATCTTTCAGAAAACCAAATATTAGTACAAAAAAGTTGCAAATAGCAACACACAACACATTTGTAATTTACAAACAGGCCAACCCTGGACAGAAACGCAGGTTTCTGGATTTCTAGATGCAGATAATTTCAAAAATATTATTCCATGGTAGAGAGCAGTGCACCTATAATACTGTCAACCAAACACTTTCCATTCATGATCCCATATGACTGCCCATCTAAGCCTGGCCAGTTTATTGGGGACTGCTTCAAGCTGCACCATACAGCTTATAAATTCTGGTAGATCCTGTGTTAGAGCAATATAGGGAATCTAATTTGATTAATTTTTCTTTTTTTTACAAATCTTTTCTGAAACTTTGTTTTTACTTTAGTTTAACTACTTTTCAAAAACATATACTTTATAAAACTTTGACAACGGTTGGTGAAAGAACAGTGCACAGAAAGTATTAAAATACCACCATCTGAAATACCCTTTACTTTTATAAAATATATGGTTTGATGGGGTAAAATCACATTGTCCGGCTTCAAAAATATCTCAATTGTGCGATGTCAAAATTCTTTGTTGGAAAACTGAAATGTGGCCCTTCCAAATGTGGCCTTTTAGCCCCCCAAAAAAATCTTTTTTTAGTATCTATCATTCCACATCATCCTAGGACTATTATATGATGCCATTATCATTGTTTATATTTGAGGTCTTGTATATCTATATGTTATCCCATTTATGGCGACAGTTTGCCGGTATCCCTATGTTTGTTCTCTTGTATTTAGAGTCTATAAGTGTGCGCATGCCTTTCAGACATACGCACGCTCTATTACAAGACAAGTCTTTAGAGTTTGGAACTTTATTCATGCTACGAATGAACGCGCCAGTTACTTCACAGGACATGTAGGAAGTACATAATTGAGTCCCAATGGTGGAACGCACGCCACCGAAGAACTCAATTAAGAAGAATTAGGAGCACTATAAGAAGCATCCCATATGAAGAATTATCCAGATCCCTGAAGAAGTCGTTCTACCCTCTGGACGAAACGCGTCGGATTGGTCAGACTTTTGATTTATTTTATTCATTCCTCTATGTATTTTATTGTTTTTATTTTCTACGGCTAAGATTGGGTTATATCCAGTTCCATCTTGATGTACCTGAATTCCACTTGCAGTCTTCTGCCAGTTTGTAAATGCAATGAAATGAAACGATTTTCAAATTTTTATACATACTTCACCATATATGGTTCTTTTCCTCTATTATATTGAAGATTCTATGATATCAATTTTATTTAGAAGCGATATTGGTCTAACATTTTTGCAGGTTGTAGGGGGCTTGCCGGGTTTAGGTAAGGTTGAGATGTGTGCTAAGAGTAGTTCTGTTGGTAGGGTTCCCTTTTCGTTGCTGTTTTGATATAGGTTCATAAGGTGGAGGTTTAGGATCCGGGAGAATTCTTTATAATATCTGTTTGGGAGACCATCTGGTCCTGGGGCCTTATTCAATGGTAGTTCTGCTTTTGCTTTGGACACTTCGCCAGAGGATATTGGTTGTTTGAGTTGGTGTATAGTATTTTGTGTCAGGGTAGGTAAGTTTATGTCCGTTAGGAAGGTGTCAATATCTGTGTGGGTACCTTCACTTCACTATCTTCCTTTAGATTATACAATTTGTGATAGTAGTCTGAGAATTCGTTTACAATTTTCTTCGGATCAATAAGTTTTGTACCTTTAGTACTGTTTAGGAAAGCAATCCTGGAGGCGGTAATTTTTGCTTGAGCTGTGAAGCCAACTTTGCTCCCGCTCTATTACCGTAAGTAAAATATTTATGTTTGTTTTTTTGTAACAAATATGTGGTTTTAGCCAGTTCGAAATCTCTTAGTTTAGATTGAGCTTTTAGTAAGGCTGCTTGTTTAGTAGGTGTTGGTGATTGTTTATTTTTATGTGTTAGTGAGGTTATTTCCTCCATTATTTCTAAGTATTGCGCTTGGCGTATGTTTTTGGCCTGGCTGGCATGTTTTATGAAGCTGCCCCTCATCACAGCCTTATGGGCTAGCCATACATAATCTGGTGATGTGCCAGATTGTACGTTTTCTGTGAAATAATTTTGGAGGTCCTCTGTAATGTGAGACATTATTACTGGGTCATTGAGCAGGGATTCATTAAGTCTCCAGGCCGATCGATTTTTCAAATAAAGCCACAAAAAGTGTTTTGTTTTCATCAGATTTTATTATTTTTCTTTAGAATACATTACATGATATGATCAAATAATGGTATGTAGAGAGAGCCTACCTTATGCCGCAGATGATAATATAGAATATGTGTGGGTACAGTAAATGAGAAAGAAGAGAATTACAGCTAAACACCGCAGAAGTGTTAAAACAGTCTGTGTCCTGAACTGTACAACATTCCAAAAAAAGTTTCATCAAGGGGTTAATATCCCTATGTGACACGCCTCTCATATTGCACTTTGCCATCTCTAAATTTCAATCTGTGATGTTAATCTTGCACTCAGCCAACTGGACATGATATGGAAAGTTGACACGTGAATTGCAAAATGTAAGCAAAAATATTAGAGTTTGAGAATTTTTTCCGATTCAGCTATTTTGGCTATTATCTGAAAGATAATATGCTCTTTCAATTCTCCAATCTGATCAGAGTAAAACAAAAGGTTAATTTAAATGAAGTTTATTTACTAGACAGTGAATCGTAGACTGTTGAAAACTGAATTGCAAAACTTGGGCTAGAATAGCAAAGCTGTGACTATGTTTGAGTTTAACATGTATTTTTCCAAGTCTGCAGTTTTTTGCCTAAATTTTGTTATTTATAATTTAATTTATTACAAGTCTCTGTATAGTAAATGAACCCAAATATCTTAAAATTGTATGCTTGCAAAGGTTACAGATCACATGTTTTAAACGTAGTGTTAAAAAAATATGTCATAAAGAAATGACAAATCTATTCTAGATGGCTTATGAACCATAACCACGAGACTGAAATCATTAATTATATCTGTAATAATAATGTATATGGGTGATTGGAGTAAGTCTTTGTGTATATATCTTGTATTAAAAATATATTTTTTTAAATATTAATACGCAAGCTGACGTTCTTTATAAAAAAAAATATATACATTTATTCTACTCACAATACAAACAGCAATACATATGCAAAGACTTAACTGATGGTACAACGTAACGATGTTACAGAGAGCAATTTTCGCCTTTGTCCAGAAAGACAGAGAAACAAGGTAATGTGGTTCTTTGTCTTTCTTTTATACACATGATGTCAGAGCTTTCAGATAAAACTCTGGCCAGATAAGGACACATATGGAGACCCTCGAACCTCAATTCTCTCATACACCCACATTCCATACTACTCATGGTACAGCATTAGGCTGGAAGAAAGGAGATTTCATCTAAGGCAAAGAAAAGTTTTTTTTTACAGTAAGAGCAATAAGGATATGGAAGTATCTGCCTGAAGAGGTGGTTTTATCAGAGTCCATACAGATGTTTAAACTGCAATTGGATAAATACTTGCAAAAACATAACATACAGGGATATCATTTCTAATTAGTGGGGTAATAGCTGCTTGATCCAAGGAGACATCTGACTGCTATTTTGTTTTGTTTTTTGCCTTCTTTTGGATCAACAGCAAAAACGTATGTGAGGAAGGCTGAACTTGATGGATGCAAGTCTCTTTTCAGCTATTTAACTATGTAGCATAGCAAATTATCATCTGTTCTTTTTAACAGATTAGACATCCATACCTAACATAAAAAGAAACAGACTGTGCAACATTCTACAATAGCTAATTAGCCTGACAGACCAATTTGCCTCTTTGGAATACAATTTTTTCACCTTAGAAAAGTCAACCCAGGCGCATTTTACTTTTTAAAGCTGCAACTCGAGATGTTTTGGACAGAATTAATTCAGGAATGAAACATAATTAAATTTCTTATCGTTGAGTTTCTAGTGTCTTCGGTTTGTAAATGGGAATATTCTCATCCAGAAGTGAAGGAATGCCTTTGATTATGTCAGAAGCTTTCTCTGCTATCATAATAGTGGGAGCATTTAAGTTTCCACTCACAATACTAGGCATTATAGAGGCATCCACAACACGTACATTTTCTACTCCAATCACTTTTGTGTCTGGACAAACAACTGCATTGGGATCAGTTGGTTGTCCCATTTTACAGGTACATGAAGGATGGTAAGCGGTGTCAGCTTTTTGTCTGATGAACGCATCTATTTCCTGATCCGACTGTACACTTTGTCCTGGCAGGATCTCTGGGCCTCGGAAATTATCAAAGGCTTTCTGAGCAAAAATCTCTCTGGATAACTTCACGCACTGACGGAAATCCAAAATGTCCTTTTCTGTTCATTGAAAACAAATTGGTGTATTGGGAATTAGTAGTTACATTTTGCAATTTTTGTGTTAGTTCTTCAAACTACACATTTTAAAGAAAAAAGTCATTTGAATTGAATCATTTAAAATTATTGAACAAAACAGAAATGAAGTGGATTTTCGAACTGGAAACTCTCTCTCCAGAAGGTTAACATTTACTTTATATAAGTATAATTCTATCGGATTAACATATCTTTTACTGCCCATCTCGGATGCCGAGATAGGCAGTGACAAGGTAGGCTTAACATCCATAACATGGCTGACTTAGCTGTTCTGGCGGAGAGACCGGATATGACGCGGTACACCTTTGTGTGTACCAATATGGAGTGTACCAATATGGTCACTCCGCCTGGAACCAGAAGTAACACCAAAAGGTAACAACTTTTCCGGTGGAAATGGGCTATGATGCCGGCCGGTGAAACTGGAAGTGATACCAATGACAATTGAACCAGGGACTTTTTGGCACCAATTTTGGTGATTTAAAAAGGGGATACATGCAGTATTAAGTACCCAGCACCTGAGGAAAATACAGACTGCCTTGAAACGCGTTGTGCTAGGACTATGGATTTTATGGCACCAAGCAAATTGGAATGTAAGGTTTTTATGTTTGTTGTATAATAAAATTTGCTGCTTTAGCTTACATTTGGTGCATTTCTCCAACTTTCTACTCCTAAGAGTCAAAGCTGTTATCAATAGACCTTGGTGGAACATCCGACATATCACAATCAAGTGTATATACCGCAGCCAGTGTTACATAAAGGCTCTAGAAAATATGAGTGTGATACCCACTAGGGTTTTTTTACCTATCTATTCATAATACTGCTGTATTGCCCTATGAGATTGCATGTTTTATATATTTTCTGTGACCATCCAGAAATCTAAAGGGTATACCTACATTTTTATGTGTTATTGTGTATCACCATTTGTGGTACACTGTCACAAAAATTATTTTAGTGCACTGTTCACTTTTTTTGTATTGTGGGTTTATGTTTTAGTTGTGAAATTGGTTTCACTGTGGTAACAAGCTGCACATTATTACATTGCATGAGTTTTTTGCACTTTATATTTCGCGCCAGTAGCTATTACACTATCTTTTATACTTGTCATGTTGGGGGAAGTTGTGCCACTATTGGACACCAGTCAGCAGGAAGTTGTACGGTTGTCCAACATGCACAGAAGTGACAGTAGCCAGCCTGGAGGGCAGGTTCTGGGCTTGTTAATGATGCCCCAGGGATGGTGCCAGAGGAGTAGTTACAGTTTCTGCAGCAAACAATTCTGTATGTGGAGTGTTTCATAGTAAAATGTTGCACATACAGCCTCGAAGTACATACCTCCCAAATAATTCCTTTAATTTGATACAAAACAGTTTATAAAATTATTGCTGTGTATAAATTATATTTAAAAAGTCCTATTCCACCTACTTTACTAATTAATTTGGAGAAAAGTAGTAAGTGGAATGCCTTAGGGTTATTTCCTGGGTCCACTTTTCTTTAATCTGTTTATAAATGATCTTGAAGTGGGTATTTCAAATCATGACATGTCATGATTCCCTTTTAGTCCAGAAGTTTGGTCCTTAAGGGGTTAAAGTCATTTGTCGGTGTTTACAGATGACAAAAAATTAGGTAATAAATTACAGTTTGAACATGATATAACTTCACTACAGCGGGATTTGGATAAATTGGGGGACTGGAGCAAGACAGAGGTTAAACATTCAATCAAGGAGAATTATCTCATGGACAAGCTCACGGCAATAGTTCAAAGCTCCATGCAATCCTTTGATTTTTGTCTTGTTTTATTGTGATCAGTTATCTCAGACTAGTCACTGGATTTGCACTTGGGATGTCTAGCAATTTTCCACTATTGTGCTGCAGAAATCCTGTTGGCTCTTGATGTCAGCTCGACAACCTTGAAGGAAGCCACAAGGGATGCGGATTCTCATCTGAACAAAGGATGGCCACTCTGGTCTGATCACACGAGAGCTACTGTAGCTCAAATTGCTAAAAAAACTTAATGCCTGGTCTGATGAATCAGATTTTTTTTTCAGAACAGGTGGATGGTCACCAGGTGCTTGTGTGTCGTTTATCTGGGAAAGAAATGGCAGCAAGATGCACTATGGGAAAAAGGCAAGCCAGCAGTGGTCTGCTCTGGGCAATGTTTGGCTGGGAAACATGGGGTCCATTCATGTCGATGTTACATGTACCACCAACTTAGAGATTGTTGCACACCACGTACACCCCTTAATGGCAATAGTATTCCATGATGGCAGTGGCCTCTTTCTTTTTGCCACAATGCATAAACTTTTTAGGGATGGTTTGAGGAACATGAGAAAGAGTTCAAGGTGTTGCCTTGGCCTGCAAATTCCCCCGATCTCAATCCGATTGAGCATCTGTGGAATGTGCTGGAACCACAAATATGATCCATTGAGGGCAAACCATGCAACTTTCAAGACTTAAAGGACCTGCTGCTAATTTCTTGATGCCAAGACACATTCAGAGTTCTTTTGGTGTCCATGCCTCGATGCATTAGAGCAGTTTTGGAATCATGAGGGTGTAACAAACACTATTAGGAAGGTGGTTTTAATGTTGAGGCTGATCAGTGTATGTGGGTTGTTAGTCAGAGGAGAAATCTGATTGCCACTAGGAGTCAAGAAGGATCTACCCCCATTTTTTGTAGCATAATTGGCTGTTGCTTCAAATTTATTAATACAATAAAAAGATGTGGTTTAAAAGTTGAATTCAATGGATTTTAATCTTTCTTTCAACCTAGATTACTATGTGACCATTGAACTGATAATGCGTACTAAACATTTTATCGTATAGATATAGCTTAATATTGGTTTTATTATTTGCAGTTTTAAGAAGCAATTGACATGCAAAATAATGTTGACAGATACAGGAGACAAAAAGGCCCATTTCACAAAAGCTTACATTTAGAAAAACTGTATTATGTTAAAATAGGTTTCTAACACATTGTCTTACATTTTAACCTACTGCCTATATATTCAATTAAAATAATTCGGATGAGGAGAATGATATTAATATTGTGCTTTTAAATTAACCATGTCATTAAAAAAACTATCAAACTAAAAAAATGTCATTGTGACACTCTTAACATGTTATCTACCATGGTGGTAATTAAGATGTAACACAATTAGCTATATTCCTGCAAAATCTACTCATACCAGGGGAGGTCTCCCTACTCACCAGTTGATAGATAGTTCGGATTAATAATAGGATGGTCCATCGGGTCTGAGCTCCGTAGTTTTAGCCAGCCAACACTTGTAGCTCTCATGGTTCCAGCATGGACCTGATAAAATACCAAAAGATCAAAGCCTGATGTTATGTGTCTTATGTACAACAACATAAATGTGCATACTTGCCAACTATACCAAATTTATTGTGGCAGTCCTGATTTTGGCATTCCAAGAAACCAGGGAAATTCTTTAAAAAGCACAGCATGTGGATTTTGTTAAACAGGCTTAAAAGGCTTTCCTAGTGCATTTTGTTCTTGTTACTGGAGTGGGAGTTTGTGAGTGAGGAAAGCGAACACTGGCCTGACTGGTGCCCTTTTGAAGCACCTGTCAGTGTTTTAAGGAAATGTCAGATACAAACGTAAAGTATCAACATATCCCTTATTATCTCTTGCCTTCCACACAGTAGGCACCATACATTACCTACAGTGTTATTCACTACAGTTTGAATTGCATGAAATGGGAGTACATTTCCAATTTCAGGCCAAAAAAAGCAAACGTGAAAATATTTTAAGCTCTACTGCCATATCTTAGGTTTCACTAGTAAGGCTTAAAATAAAAATAATGAAAAAAAAAAAACACTTTCCTCTCCATTTATTAGAAGGCAGATACTAATTACATCAAAATGTTGTTTAGTAAGGCATACATCTAATTGATGTCGCTGGTGTAAAGATCTCTCCGAACAAGGTGAAAGATTGCAATAGACAAACAAAGTTCTATCAATGGACAGACCAAGCAACTTAAGCACGGAAACGGAATGCTTTTACACCAGAAATCGTACACCTGCCCCAGGTAAATCTCCATACCAAATGTTGTTCTTTACTGATCAGCTTCTACTTGCTAAAGTACCTGTTGCTAAAGCAGGACTGTCATGCCGAACTTGCATTTCCCCAATCGCCATCTCTTCTCTTCCTCTCTCAGGATCAGTTCTTCATTTCTTCCTAACAGATCTAGCTTTCTTTAAAACATAAGGCAAAGCCGCAAGTGAACCCTCCCGCCCCAATAAAATAAACCCTACTTACCCCCTCTCATTCTAAATATAGTGAGAATAAGCTAAATACCTGTAAAAGGGGGGCGTGGTCACTGCCCGTCACTCCTCCCAGCTATCAGAGAGCCACGCGGGAGGAAGGAGGGAGTCAGAGTGGGAACTCTGACTCCCATCAGGCTGAGCCCCAGCTGGACCCCGGGGAAAGTCACCCTCCTGCAAAAGGTAGGAAACAGGAAACATTTTGTATATGTGTGTCTCTCTGCGTGTATGTATGTGTCTGTATGTGTGTGTGTCTCTGTATGTATGTGGCTATGTGTATGTATGTGTCTCTGTATGTGTTTGTCTGTCGGGGGTGTGTGTGTGTGTCTGTGTATATGTGTCTCTGTATGTGTGTGTATGTGTCTGTATGTAGCTGTGTGTATGTCTGTTGGGGGGTGTGTGTATGTGTGTCTGTGTGTATGTATGCGTGTATATATTTATGTGTCTGTCGGGGGGGTGTATGTGTGTGTATGTATGTGTCGGGGGGGAGGCCCACGGACCGGTGGGAGGGGAGGGAAGAGGGGTCCACAGATCAGTTTTGCACCGGGGCCCTGTGGATTGTGTGTATGCCACTTGTTGGGACCATAAAATATACCCCTGGGCTGAAACCGTTGGTGCCATAGCAACATCCCTTTTGATAGCACATGTGTAATCTCACTGTTAGTAAGGTAGCAATGCTGCATTCTCAGTTTCCCTTTGATGGATGTAGGGTTCGTCTGGATCATCTAACATCGTCACTACTTTTATTTCATTATTTATTTCAAGATTTTGTAAAGAAACAAATAGAAATACATACATGTGTCATTTGTGATTAAGTAGTCACATTATTACAAGTACGAAGCTTAATTTGTTATGTTTACAGGTGTGCAAGGGATAGTAACATTTCGTATGGTAAACCTGTATGTTGCATACATTTTAAAAGGCAATAACAACAAAACAATAAAACTTAAACAAGCATCGTGTGATGCATAACTGTATATTTTTATGTTCTAGACTTTGGAGGTATTGGATACCTCTGAGTATAAGTAGGAGTACAAAGTTGAACATCGTTACTACTTTTAAGGCTTTATGCCAGAAAATGTATTATACTGGAGGTGTACATATACCCTACTTTCCAGGTCAGATTAGTAAATCTCACTGATCTTTTAAAAGAAATACACGTGTAAATCTCTCTTGCTTACGATAATTTCACACCTTCCAACTCCGGTGTCCTGAGAATTGGGAGGAAGTTGGGAGGCAGACCTGTGACATGAATATCTCGGTAGCTTCGGTGTGGACCGCTGAGAAAGGGTGTGAGTCCATCTAGGTAAATGGCAGGCCGGTTGCCCGTCCATCACTCAGGCCGGCCCACTGAGGGCAGACCCTAGCACCCTAAACATCGTGCAAGCGCGTTTTATTATGAGCTTGTGCTATGAATGTTGGGAACAGCTCCCTGGTGTCCCCACAAGCTGGAAGATCAGGGAACTAAGGTGGAACTGGCATAAATCGGGATGCAAGTGGTTTTTATGTGCACTAATAAATGGAGCCATTGATGTTTAGTGAAAAACAATTTATAATGCGCTGAGGAATAAGTTGGCGGTATAAAAAGGCCAATAATAATAATAACAATTTGTAGTGAATCCAAAACTACAATTTAGGCAAAAGTACTACAACTCCGCTATAGACACAATCATCCTACATTTTGCAATTTCTTTTCAGATTTACTTCAAATCTGTGTATTGAATAAATTGTTCAATCTTTAAAATGTAGTTATTTTGGACAACAATTTGCAATTCAGTTATCAAACCCTTTTAGGGTTATTCACTAAACCAGTGGTACCTAACCCAGTCCTCAAGTAGCCCCTACCAGTCCAGGATTTAGGGATTACCCAGTTGTGTCTAAGGTGATTTAAAAAAAAAAAAGAAAGATAAAAACACTTTAGACAAGACAGAACAATCCCTAAATCCTGGACTAGACTAAAGCCTGAATTTTAAGTACTTCAAAGTGAATTGCAAATTTTAGTCCAAACTAAGCCATCTTGGAAAAATAGACCTACAATTTTTTTCTTTAAAATAATGTTGAATTCCTGAAAATTTCACACTTCGGTAAATAATCCTGATTGTTTAGTAAAAAAGTCAGTTTGTATTGGGCCTGACGTTGGGGCGTTTTAACCACCTATTACTGAAGCAATACCACTCTTGAATTTGAATGATTGTTGAGATGAGACAGAAGCTGGGCTATTAATTTGACAGCTTTTCATTTGAATTTGAATTAAACTCTGCATCATATTTTATCTTGAGAAAATAAATTATTCTCTCTGTCATCGTCACCTTTCAAGATGTCACTCTTTTAACCTTAATCTCTTTTATTAATCAATTAAGTCTCAGAATAGAGCAGATCTCTAAAACCAAGGAAGTAATTTGGGTTTCTGACACATCTGGGAGTAATTAAAATTCTGGATATTTAAAACATAAGAATGTGTTTAAAAGTGTAGACTGAAAAATTGTACATGAGATTTTAAGAGCAATTAAAACACATCCTCTCTAACTCTGAAATGTTGTTCATTAAAGGGACAGTTTAATTATCTTAACGCACCATAACAACTTCATCTAAATTTTGCTGTGTTATAAATAAATAGGGTAAAGGGAGGTTTAAAGTTAGAAAGGAGTTAAAGTCATAGTTAGATTACATAGGATGTTCAGAGTTAAGGGGCTTGTGGAGGGTCATAGTTATGGTATTGTTATGGACAAAATACTTGAATGGATAAAATGTATTTTTACTCTATACATGTGTGCTCAGTAACTATTTCCTCTGTAAATACCTCCCATCCGACTACCCTCCCCCTTGCCATCGAGCAAGCCTCGTGTAACAAATTCCTGTGTTAAAAGAACAGCTTCCTTTACTAACTCCTCCCCCACTTCCTTTGTGCAACTAACAGCTCTCTGCCACGTCTAACAAAATGGAGAATCGCTGTTAAAGTAACTGTTTCCCCTTCAGCCCTCTTTGTTCAGTAACTACTCACTCCCCCTCCCATCGTGTAACCAAGATGGAGCTGCAATGTGGTTGGGAGAACTCTGTAATGATGACATTACATCCTGTAGGGTGGGTTTAGACAAGACCTAACATTTAACCAATTGCCGAAAGTATACTTTGTGTAATCTGTGACTATGTACATGACGTATTTCTGCTTTAAAAGGGGCTCCCACCCCTTGGAATAAAGGCCATTCTGAAGTCCTTCATAACCTGCAATGTGCCCAGTGTGATTTACTTCTAGAAGACATGCGCACAATCAATTTAGAAAGGAGTAGATAGACAAATAATCAAACGCTTGATTTGATCCAGATCAGTATAAGAGGTGTCTAGAATAATTGGGCAAAAGGTTAGAATGGGGTTTATTTAGTATTGGAGTGTATGGTGTGTTGAAACCTAGGATTAAGGTAACGGTTTTTGTTTCGGGTTTATGCTTTGAGTGCTTACATTTTGGACTAAGAGCGTGTTTAGGTTTTGGGAAGGTTAACCTTAGTAGGGTACAACCATGTGGAGTTTTAAGGGTTATTTGTAAAGTACTTACCATGCTATGTTTAATAGTAGAGCTGCAGTGCTGTCCTATAGTGTGTAGTGTGAATGCTGTCTCTGCGCCTCCTGCAATGTATTTCCTGTGTGAGGCTGTCAATGGGCAGATGGGAAATAATCCGTTCCTCTTCCTGTCCTGCCTCACACACAGACACTGGAGGAGCTGGGACAGCACTGAGTTTTATTGCCTCCATAACAGTTCCTGCAGCTCTGCTATTAAAGGGACACTTCAGGGACCACTTCAGCACATTGAAGTTGTCTGGGTGCAATGTCCTATAACCCTAAAGTGGTAATTATTGCAGTTTCTGAGAAACTGCAATCATTACCTGCTAGGGTTGATTCAACCTCTAGTGGCTGTCTACCAGACATCCACTAAAGGGACTTATGGTGCTTAGACGACTTCTGGTCACCTAAATGCCGCTGGATGTCCTCACGCTACGCATTAGGACTTCCAGCGTCACCGGAATCCCTATAGGAAAGTATTGAATAATGCCTTCCTATGGAGTAATCATAATGCAAGTGTGGCAAATGCGCATTAGGTCTCCCCCGCCGGCAGACTTGGGAGGAGCATAGTGGAGCCGAGCCAACAACGAGGGACATCGGCGCTGGACCCAGGTGAGTGACAGAAAGGGTTTTTACAAGGGGCCTTGACAACAGGGGAAGCTATAGTGCTAGGAAAATAAGTTTGTTTTCCTGGCACTATAGTTTCCCTCTAAGCATAGGAGTCTGACTGGACACTGGCCAAAGTTTCTGGTATTTCTATCCCCACCTGTTAACTCAAATTCAAAAAGGCAAATTAAAAGTGCTGTAAACAGACCCCCCCTATAGGACAGGCACCTGTACGCAGACACCTCTGCCTCATGGGAAATCTGGCTCTATGAAACACTATTGAGAATGCATTTGGGGGTTGTTTGTGGGATTGCGCGTGCGTAGAGTGGGGTTGTTTGTATTGTATTGTAAGTTTGTAAACTGGTCTATTTTTGGTGTGTGTGTATAGGAGATATAGTGCATTAGTTTGCAATACTTTAATAGACCATCTTTGGAAAGCTACTTATATTCTGATGAAACAGATACTAATCCAACAAATTCATGAATATATGGCATTAAACCAAATTAAAGGGACAATACAGTCACCAGAACAACTACAGTTTAATATTATTGTTCTGGTGGCTGCAGCCTGTCCCTACAGGCCTTCTAATGTAAACACTGTTTTTAGACAGTGTTTACATTACTGCCTAGTACAACCACTAGTGGTAGTCTCTCAGACGACCCTAGAGGTGCTTAATTGGTTAGTGCAGCACTGACGCTGAACGTGCCTCATACAAATGTGTTGATTCAATGCATCTCTATGAGGAGATGCTGCTTGATGCAGTGCAGCAATTTGACCTCCAACTGGAAGACAGGAGACGGTGGAAGCATCTGAAGGTCAGAGGCATCACAAAGAGCATCACTCCAGCTGAATTGCCACATTTTCTCCGCAGGCTGTTCATGGCTCTACTGCCTCCTAGACAAAGATCTTACAGATAGACGGCTTGTTCTGCCTGCCCACACCTCAGTCCAGCAAGGTCTTGAACGCTGGCGATCTTCTTGTAAAGTTTCAGAATGCGCAGGATAAAACCACCTTCATGCAGGCAATCAGGGGAAAGACCCCATACGGTTTTGAAGAGATGGAACTCACCTTCTTTGCTGACCTTTCACGCTCCACAGAACAGTGGAGTTAATTACCGACTCACGACTGTGCAGGGTATAATGGAGGGAGGGGGCTGTGCAGGGTACAATGGAGAGGGTATAATGGAGGAGGGGACCGTGCAGGGTATAATGAGGGGGGGCTGTGCAGGGTACAATGGAGGGAGGGGGGGCTGTGCAGGGTAAATGGAGGGAGGGGGGCTGTGCAGGGTATAATGGAGGGAGGGGGCTGCAGGGGTGCATGGTGGGCTGTGCAGGGTATAATGCAGGGAGGGGGCTGTGCAGGGTATAATGGAGGGAGGTGGGCTGCGGTATGCAGGGAGGGGGCTGTGCAGGGTATAATGGAGAGAGGGGGGCTGTGCAGGGTATAATGGAGGGAGGGGGGGCTGTGCAGGGTATAAGGGAGGGAGGTGGGCTGTGCAGGGTATAATGCAGGGAGGGGGGCTGTGCAGGGTATAATGGAGGGAGGGGGGCTGTGAGAGATACAGGGAGGGAAGTATAAAATATTAACAAAGCACATACCCGGTCTCTGCAAGTTTGCTCCTAATCTTCAGCACTCCGCAGGACAGAAGAGCGAGCACAGGAAGTGACTTCCTATCCTCTGGCCCCCCTCCTCCCTTCTCATGCAGACCAGGATGGCTGCCAGGTCCAACTCAGAAGGGATGGGGGGAAGGACACTTCACTTGAAATATGGGAAGGAGGAATTACTACTTTCTGGCTGGGAAGATTAAAGATAGATCTCCCCAGCCAGAGCATGGCTGTACTGCCAGGCCCCTGACTGGCTCAGGCCCCGGTCCACGACCGGTCTGCCCGACCTGGCAGTCCGCCCCTGCACACAGCGTACCATCTCACACACACAGGCAGACAGTCACACACAGAATACAGTCACACAAACAATTACCTCTTTTCCTAATGTCTGGAAGGGAGGAGTGGAAGCAGGGATTCTTTACTGTGCAGCAAGTATCTGGAGCTTCAGTGAGCTGCAAGCTCTGCCCCGGCTGCCTTTTAGCCCAGCCCGTCCACGCTGTTCGGTAAGCCCACCCCATTTCATAGTCCATGGTGGGAAATAATGAATCCTCCACCCGAGGATTTGCTTTAGCTCCCCTGGCCATGTGTGAGCTGTGTCGGCCACATGGCGCCCCCTGCTCCATGGCGCCCTGTGCGGCCACACAGCTCGCACACCCCTGCATACATATATACATACATACATAGAAACTAGGAATGCTGCACTTACCCACATAAATATGTATGCATTATAAGAGTGCTGCTGGGGCCAATTTATATAACATACATACATACGTAATCCAGAGCACTCACTCACTAAACACCCTCTTCACACCCTCTTTTTTTTTTTAAACACCTGACTGTGTAATGGGAATTTAGTAATGGGGTTTTGCACCACTCCCAGTAACAGGTTCCTCATTCCAGTGCTTTATTTAACCTTGCCCTGCCGAGATTCCCGGGAGGAAGAATTTTCCAAGTAAGTGGATTCATCTCATAAGAGCAGGCATTAGGTTGCTAGGATAGGACCTGTCAAAAATGGGGTACAATGACGGTGTGGCAGGCTTATGCAATGTATTATATGCTGTAGCTAGACCCCCTTTAAGTCAAATGTTTTTTGTTTTTTTTTAAATATAAAATGTTGTATTGCTACGCTCCTAACCAGGTCTTAGAGTCTTAAACATTACAAGCTGATTTCAACTCATCAGGTCTAAATTTCACTCAGCAGTGGCTAGTGGAAATGTTGTGCTCTGTTTTATATTTTATATATATATATATATTTCCTGACCATTATTCATGGCAGCATTTACTCATGGGTTAGCTCCTCCCTTACAGCAGAAAGGACAGGAAATAGAACTCTGAAACTGGTATAAATAGATCCTCCCCCTTCCCATCAGGCAGTCTTTTTTCCTGTCCTTCACAGCAGTTTGGAAGGAGTCTGCTTAAGCAGGCCTAGATTTTTTCTTTTATACTCACCAGGCAATATTTTTTAGGCCATGCCGGGGTTCAGCCTCTAAGCCCTGAAGACCCAGCAAAACGGTCTAAGATGAAATGGCTAGCCTGGGTACCCCTTTTAGTGACCGGGGGTCGGACCCAACCTCTCCCTGAAAGGGATGAAAATGGTCCACTGCATGCCAGGGTTCAGCCTCTTATCCCTGAAGACCCAGCAACAGATGAGCTCAGGGGATGTATGTGATATACTGCCTACATGAAGCCAGGCCAGGGTTCAGCCTCTTACCCCTGAAGACCCAGCAAACAGCATATCGGTAAGAGTTGCCAGTCTGGGTTCCTACTTCAGCAACGAGAGGTCTGTCCTATCTCTCTCGGAAGTGATGACAGTATTCTCTTTTATCCCTTGGATACCTGAAAGTTTGGCAATACCTTTAGTATATGTCAGGGGTGGCGTGCTTTTGGTTCTTAAGGAGTTAATGATCAGAAACATCTGACCGATTCCCCTGTTGTGAAGGGGAACATTATAATTTCCTTTCTGCAATAAAGGTATTCTTTTAGGCTCATATGCTCAGGTAACTTTGATGCTGTGTATTGCAAGTATTTTAGGTCATTCCAGTCCCCAGACCATTCTACCAGGTTTACTATTTCAGGTAAAATTCACCTGCTGCCTGAACAATAGAGGAAATCCCTAAACAGGTAGTTCCATTACGGACCTCTTCTGATATTCATGGGGATTCTTCTAGGTGTCCTTATATCTGGAATTTGCAACCAATGTGTGGCTTTAAATGGTTGATTCATCCTGCATAATATATATGAAATGCAGCTTGTTGATGACAAACATTTGACTGATATGTTTTACAAGGTCCCTGTACTTAGATCGGTATAAGTTATGGTCACGCCAAACATTGCATTGATTTAATACTTGTGGATTATATGTTTGGATTGGTGTTGCTATCTTGCAGATATAACAAGCTGTTTATTATCACCATAGGCTCTGCCATAAGAACTTCTTCACTATCTGAAGATAAGGTAAGAGTAAGTATGCGGTTGTTGTTCTCATAAAGATAACCGAATATCTTCTACTACCCTGCTTATTATGTGTCTGTTGCCACAATGTATAATGTGCCTCTGGTTACCACCTTCCCATCAGTATCTTGCCTATTATATATCTCTTACTTATGTTGCACAACAGTCTCTAATAAATTTGATAAGACTGTTTGGCATAATCTGTACTATTTACAATATGTTTATCTTTGAATGTAGGTACTGACGTGGTTGGCCTCCTTATAATTTAGTAGTTGCCACAAATTCTATGGTTCATACCGATATTTCTTTTTTTCCTCAACTAATCTGTATATGATTCTTCTTGCCTTTGCCTAGTAATGTTATTAGTTTATTCCTCTCCTGTGAATGATCATTGCTGTATCAATTCATCCACTGTGTGAGGTATTGTTGTAAATCGGAATTTTGCAACATTGGGTCATTGTTGCAGTGTTTTAATAACAGACTCTTATTTCTCTACTAGGCTCTGCCTCTTTCTGACAGGCTGATATTGATTTGTTCCTGTATCTTCAGGTAAGTAGTTCACAAGGCAAGAGGAAGCGGTGTGAATCGTATTTAATAAATACACCCAGTAAGTAGTAGGATTCTCAGTGTAATTCTCCCCGTGTTTAATAGCATGGTGTGTCCGTTCTCATCCAACATTATCTGCTTGTTCCAGTATGATCTCTGGAAGTTATGCCTTCGTCAAGGTTCTGATTTATTGATATCAATTTGGTTTTAAATTTTTATACCAGAATGACATTTTCCTTCTCTAGCTTATGCTATCGTGGCCTTAATTCTATATTTAATTCTATATTTATTCAGGATATTTCAGATATTGAATGCCAGGAGGTTGCTGACCTTGCAGCTTCTAGGGAAAATTATCTTGTCTGAGCAGATTTTATGACAATTTCATATTTATTCTTGTTTGGCTTTGTAAAGTCTTCTAAGATTTATACAGCTCAATAATGGTTTTATAGCTATTAGCTGTTTTTAAACTCTGTCCCTCCCTCTATATATATTGCTTGGGTATTCCCCATGAGTAAATGCTGCCATGAATAATGGTCAGGAAAAACGAAAATTGTTTCATACTTACCGTAATTTTCTTTTCCTGATAATTATTTATGGCAGCATTACGTTCCCACCCATATACTATAAGATGTGAAGCTAGTTACTAAGACTGCCTGATGGGTAGGGAGAGGATCTATTTATACCAGTTTCAAAGTTCTATTTCCTGTCCTTTCTGCTGTGAGGGGAGGAGCTAACCCATGAGTAAATGCTGCCATGAATAATTATCAGGAAATGAAAATTACGGTAAGTATGAAGCAATTTCCATTATAATAGTTAATACATTGCTAAACACAAATATACACACACCAGTCAAGCCATAACACTTGCTTTTCCCACAGAAATCTCACTTTAACAGTGCTCTCACTACTGCAAGGGATTCTGGGTAGATGTATGCAAATGAGCTCAACAGAGAACCACATTTTTGCCTAATAATTCCACTTTATACATGAATTCTTTGGAGTATGTGTCTGCTGCATACAACAGCTTTAAAAAAAACACAGCTCAGGAAGAGGTGCAAAGCCAGTGAATCACTCATGGACAGCTGCTTTGTTGTTAATGTAACTTATCATCAGCATGAGGTTAGTTACTGGCTTGCTATGGAGGCTTGGCATTACTTATATAAAAAAAAAAAAAAAAAAGGATAATCCTTGCACTCACGCTGTAAATTGTAATGCCGGGTGCCAAAGCATTTGGGCTGACGTAAATATAATTCCATAGATAATGCTGCACTCACGGGTTTCATAAAATCCAAAATGCTTTATTAGGTATTCATTAAAAATAGGATCAACGTTTTTATGGTATATGTATTTTTTTTTTTTATTATTCTTTATTTTTGTGTGCACAATAGTAACATCATTGCAAACGTAGCCACAACAGCTATTGTTCACAGATATAATAAACATTTTAAACAATCGTGGCTTTTTGTAGTCTTGCACATTTTATAATACATTTGACTCTATAGAAAAACCTTTGTTGTAGTATCAGTTGTGCACTGTAAGGGAGTGAGGGGAGTGTAGCTCTGCGGTATATGTGTCTGGCCTTGAGGGCCTCACCCCTTACAGTTATTCTGTGTGGTTGCTTTCAGCATGATCCTCCGTGTATTGGCAGGGGGGAGGGCGGTGTACGGGTATCGTGTAGTAATGTGGCTATGTGGTACCTCTTATGTGGTATGCGTCTGCCTCCTAATGTGGGCATGTAGTATGTCTACAGCATTTGGTGTGTGTGTGCTTTCTGGTTTAGTCAGCCGTGTCTCGTAGAGTGGCTATCTCACGAGTGAGGACCAACTAGGTAATGCTAACTATAAGAAGGAAGCAGTGCGTGCATATACTGATAGGATCGGAATAAGAAAAGATGCTGCATTATTGTGTGTGCAAGCCCAAAGAGTGAGTCTGATTAGAGTGAGTCTTTGACTTTGTGGAACGTTCCGTCTGCGTAGTTGGTGGAATGTGATGGAGAGGAGAGTCCCTTTGTATTGGCTGGTTTCTGCCTCCTCAGGTGGGCGATCCGCCCGGAGAGGCTCTGGAGGAGTTCCGTGGGGTGAATTCTCGGATGTTAGCCAGGTTCAGCTGGGAAAGGCCCTGTCTGGTTGCCGGTGCCGCTGGAAAGATGCCTGTTGAGTGCAGGTGTGTTTCAAGCTCCTGTTTATCTTGCGCCTTGTATAAAGTCTCGTTGTTGGTGAACAGTATGGCTTGAGGTGTGCCCCATCTGTATGGAATTTCTCTGGACCGGAGATGGTGCAGATGGGGTTGCATTGTTTTTCGCCAGGCTATCGTGTTCCTGGTCAGGTCCGGGAACACTGTTAACGATGCCCCCTCGAACAGTAGGGTTTTTTTTCCCCGCATTGCAGTCAGAAGCGAGGTCTTGTTGGCTAGTGTTTAAAACCTCAGTATGAGGTCCGCTGTCGCCGCTGTTGGTGCTCGGGGTGATTTTGGCAACCGGCACATGCCATCTAGTTTCATGGTTTTTACTTGTTTCGGTGGGAGCAGGACTTTGAGGAGGCACCTGATGTAGTGGGGTAAGTCTGCAAGAGCTACTGACTCAGGTATCCCACTTATTTTGAGATTATAGCGTCTTCTCTGGTCCTCCATGGCATCCAGTCTGTTGTTGGTTGTGTTTTGCCAGTGGACCAGGTCTGTAATTTTCTGTTCTACCTTGTGGAGCCTAGCGTTGTGGGTGTTTGAGCAGGCCTCCAGCTGTGTGATTTTCGTTGTGGCCCCTTCCATGGCTTTCCTATAGCAGGCCATGTCTGCCGTCAAATCTTTGCGGAGTTCCGCCAGCATTACCTTGAGCTGGTCGGCTGTGACCATGTCCCCGGTTGTTGGGGGTGCATTTCTGCTGTCCGATGGGTGCCCGGAGGATGCTCCCTCCAGGACGTCTCTGTGGTGAAGTCCTCCGAGGAATACGAGGAGATGTCATCGGTAGACGCCATTTTGGACCATGTGGCCTGTTGTGTGGTCCGGAGCATTTCTCCAATGTCCCTCCCGTGGGGGCTTTTTTCAGCTTTTGCTTTTTTAGATTTTCTGCCCATGTTCTTTCTGCTTGTGCCTGGGTTGTTTGTAGGATATTTTGGGCCCGGTTTCCACCATATATCTCTATGCTTTAAAAAGTCAGAGACGAAGCTCTGAGAAATGCGTCCTCTCTGTTAGCTCCGCCCCCCCATATATGTGGTGAAGTCCTCCGAGGAATACGAGGAGATGTCATCGGTAGACGCCATTTTGGACCATGTGGCCTGTTGTGTGGTCCGGAGCATTTCTCCAATGTCCCTCCCGTGGGGGCTTTTTTCAGCTTTTGCTTTTTTAGATTTTCTGCCCATGTTCTTTCTGCTTGTGCCTGGGTTGTTTGTAGGATATTTTGGGCCCGGTTTCCACCATATATCTCTATGCTTTAAAAAGTCAGAGACGAAGCTCTGAGAAATGCGGCCTCTCTGTTAGCTCCGCCCCCCCATATATGTATTTTTTGATCCTGAGGAAAGTCCCATGGGGGGACTGAAACGTTGATCCTATTTTTAATGAATACCTAATAAAGCATTTTGGATTTTATGAAGACCGTGAGTGCATCATTATCTACGGCATATTATATATATATATATATATATATATATATATATATATATATATATAATATCTCCTAAAGAATATACGGATATATTGTCTGTTCAGATTCAGCCAAATTCAGCGAAGTTGATTGGACAGCTTTACTTTACTTTACAGATAGACAATGATGCAAAACATAATGTGAAAGCAACCCAGACATTTTTTTTAAGGCAAAGAAGTGGAATATTCTGCAATGGCCAAGTCAATCATCTGATCTCAACCCGATAGAGAATGCTTTTTACTTGCTGATGTCAAAGCTTAAGGCGGAAAGACCCAAAAACAAACAACCACTGAAGAAAGCTGCGGTAAAGGCCTACCAAAGCATCGCGAAGGAGGAAACCCAGCGTTTGGTGATGTCCATGAGTTCCAGACTTAAAGCAGTCATTGCCTGCAAAGGATTCTTGACAAAGTATTAAGCATTAACATATATATACACACACAAAGCAACAACCAAAACAGGTTCACTGGCTTTGCATCTTTACAAGCTGTTGTATACAGCAAACACAGACTCAAAGGAATCCATGTTTAAAACAGAATGAGGCAAAAATTTGATTTGTTGTTAAACCAATTTGCATATGCCCACCCAGAATCCTTTGCGGTAGTAACATCACTGCAAATTTGTGATTTCTGTGGCTTGACTGGTGTGCAGATGTTTGTTTAATTGTATTAACTGAAAAAAAATATACATCGCATACATGTACACATGTATATGAAGATGCTATTATAGTGAGGCACAAAATGTGTGCGGTGTATCATGCTAGTGTTGAGTTATGTATGATGATAAATGCTTCTTTTCAAGGCATCAAAAATCCTGCAGCTAGATTTTTCACAAGCTTTTTCTACTCACCACAATTCACTTTTTAGTAAATGAATCTCTTGCATAATAGACCCTTCATCCTCACCTGATAAGCCTCCACCTTTGGACTGACTCGCCCATGATCAATCACTTGTGAAGGCAAAAAATGGAATTGTATATCAGGGTGCTTTACTCCAGGACCACTTCGGATAAACCCACCAGATTCCAAGTGTGCAGTCGCTCCATCTCCTGTATCCAAAAGGAATACTTTGCATTATTGTACTGTTGTAGCCAGAAAAAACATGGATATAATAAAACAATATTAAAGTACAAAATCCATCTATATATTTATTGTCTTGGTCAATATCTAATCAGAGGATGGGTGCTGTCTGATTGTAAAACCAAGGTCTATCTTTTTATCTGTAAATTATGACAGGGAGTTTATGTGCAACATTAAAGACAAAACTGAGTTAAAGTTTGTTTGGTTTTTGTCAGCTCTTTTTTTTTTTTTTCTACTTGACTTTTTTGCAATTTTCAACTTAACACACACTTAACAACAAGTTGAACCCTCATGATAAGAATGTTTTATATATTTAATTCTGCAAGTCATTTGTCAAACCACCACATCCTATGAATAAATTCCAAAAGTTATGGTTTAAGTGGGAGGAATATATGATGGTTATTATCCATCTGTCCATTTATTCATCCATTTGTTCATCATTCCATACAATATAAATGTACCAAAAAAAAGTCCTGCGCTCAAACTCCCACTACTCCTGGGCGGCAGCAATGACTATAGTATGCAGCAGCCCCAAAAAATAAAATAAAAACCAAAGAAAAGCGTTACTTGAGAACTACCCCAAGTCCCTATGCATTTGGGTTAGTGCCCAAGTAATTATTTTCTTTCGTTTTTATTCCATCCAATATATAAACTTTATGTGATCACAGTATCCAACAAACCTGTAAATTTCCAGAACCATTCCAGGCCTATTCTGACCATCCGTATTGGTTTCTGTGCTGCGTACAGAGTAATGGGCTGAGTGCATTGCTGTTGAACGTAGACCTCGAGATGATCCTGCAAATTCTGTCCCACGCCTGAGAAAAAGATTTATATTTTACACACGTTTTTTCTTAGTTGTAGATTTTTTATTTAACAACTCATTGGACAGTGTGCAGATCAGGACAACTCATTGGACAGTGTGCATTGATGAATAATGTCAAAACTGTCCAACAGTGCTGACAATAAGGACCATGGACATCTGACAGAGTAAGATAAGTGTCATATCTTTCATTAAAAAATTGCACTGTTTGCTGTGGGAATGGCACCAGGAGACTATGGCTATGGTGCTTAGCTTATCCCTTTAAGCAAATATCAGATTAATTCTGTTTCTGGAGATTTATTCCATTTTGACACCCAATGAATAAATATGCAGACCCAACAAAAGCAGAATTTGAAAATGTCTAAATATATAATATATCTTATTCAGTGACTTACTTTTTGAAAGTCTGTTGTCCACCTACAACTTAAAGTCTAGTTTATACTATATTAAAAGACTACCGGCACTTCAAAGATAAGAGCTCCTCCTTTATTTCTCCACACATTAAAGGATCATTATAGGGTCAGGAACACAAACATTTATTCCTGGCCCTATAGTGTTAACACCACCATCTAGCCCCCTGGGCCCCTCATGCCTCCATAGATATAGTAAAAATCTTACTGTATTCAAGCCTGAAGCTGTAAATCTGCATGCTGTTAGACTCAGAAAAACAAGCAGTCTGCTGACATGTGGTAGCCTGATCTAATCACAGTGCTTCCCCATAGGATTGGCTGAGACTGACAAAGAGGCAGATCAGGGCAGAGCCAGCACGATTCAAACACATCCCTGGCCAATCAGCATCTCCTCATAGAGATGAATTGAATCAATGAATCTCTATGAGGAAAGTTCAGTGTCTGCATGCAGAGGGAGGAGATACTGAATCACAGGATGCTGTGCACAGTGCTGCCCTGTGCTCTGCTGACAACAGATCTGAGTGGATGGAGGCATATTATTCCTCCATCAACTCCGAAGTCCCTCTGGTTCACTCTGAGTGACTGCAACTGCAAGCGTTTGCTGCTTCTCCGACTCTCTATACAAACTTTGCAGTGACTATTCCTTTTTAGCATTCATAACACTGCCTATGCTTTTTCTTCTAGTTCCATTATATTTTTTATTTTCTATAGGTTTTTAAATGTTATTGAATAAAGTACACCTATTTTTTTATCTGCAGGATTCCTGTGATTCCTGACCAACTTGAATTCCTAGCTTGTATAGGCAGCTTGGAGCTTACTTCACAGGGCCTGGTAAGGCTCTTTACTTGTGAGTTATATTCCCTGAGATTTACTATTTATATGTTATATACAGAAAATTCCAAGTTCTGTTCTTTTTAATGTTCTACAGATATTTATTGAATGCTGTCCATCTGAACATGTATATAAGTATATTTTGTGTGTACTCACTGAAGGGTGTATTATTTGTTTGTTTTGGTTTTTACTTAAGTGTATATTTAAGGTGATCAGGAAAACACCTTCTATACACCCTTATTTGTGCACTTTTTCTGATTATTGATTTAAATTATAAATTCAGCAGAAATTTAGGTAACAAAAAATTAGACCAACATCACCCTGAGTCAGCTCCCCCACGCCTTTTGCTTTTCATAGTCACTTGGCATTGAAGTGTTTTAGTCCCTCGTGTAAGTAGTCAAACCATTTGGACATGGGAGTGGGGGGTGCTGGGCACTGCTGCCCGCCTTCTCTCAGCTGGACATGAGAGAAAGAAGACTTTGCTAGGAGCTTCCATTAGCCCTTCTGGGCTCAACTGCAGTACAGGGCTAGTTTGATGGCTGAGAGTGTCATCTAATTGCTCTCAACCAATGATCTAAGTCTTGCACTGCTGTGCTTCAATCAGAGCTTAGATCTTCTGGCTAGGATGCTGTGCCTAGCAGACTGCAGGTAAAAAGTCAAACTGTTACCACTACAGCTAACAAGTGTTCATTTAAATATATATTTTATTTTATATATAGTATTATTACATAAAATCTTAGTATTTATGTTCTACACATGTATAGATCTCACCTGGACGGTGAGCAACTACTGGGATTCCCAGCCTCGTCAGTTCATCTGCATTTCCAATTCCCGACAACATGAGAATTTGCGGCGAGTTTATGGCCCCTCCACTCAGAATAACTTCTTTCGTAATAAATGCCTTCAAGAGTTAGAGGTTTCAATAAAATACTTTCAGACAATTAAGTTATGTGTTCTATAAAGTTATTTGAATATGCAGGAATTCTCTTTTTTCATTAACCCCTTAAGGACACAACTTTTGGAATAAAAGGGAATCCTGACGGAATACTTCCGTCATGTGTCCTTAAGGGGTTAAGGAACAATTACAAGAAACTTGAGTTGGCTAATTTACGAAAAGGGTCAAGATAGGAACTTGAGGGAACATCAATGTAAATAGTTAAACAGGAAATGAGTGTGAATTGTTTTTGCAAAGTTTATGAAAATACCAACTTATTGTGAATGGTATACAGTGGGACCTCGGTACTCGAACAGTCCCTTACTCTGCACTGTTCAAACAGAAAATTAAAGGAAAACATTTTTGGTACCCGAACAAATCTAGTTTACATTAATTCTTATGGGAAAATATGATTTGGTTTTCAAACAAATAGATCTCAAACAGCCTTCTCGAACGGAATAAGTTCAGAGAGTTCAGAGGTTCCACTGTAATTATATGTTGCAACTAATATATGCATCTCCCTTAAAAACTTATATTGAAAATGAACCAGAATAGGTTAAAAATGTTTTTTTATTTTTAAACTTGCATTTCCATCCCAACGATACTTATACATATTGTACTTATAATGTTACATCTTTACCTTTTTCTTCTGTCCATTTTTTATGTATTCCACCCCTACGGCTTTCAGCCCTTGGAAAATTATCTTGGTAACAAGTGTTTTTTCTTCAACACATACATTGGGTCGAGATAATGATGGTCGAAGATAAGCACTGGCTGTGCTCCATCGGTGACCTAAAATAATTATTAGGGATTAAAATCATCATTAGGGATTATACAGGAAAGTAATGATGATTTAGGATGAAATGCCCTGCTGTGGCCACCCCTCAAACTAACCTTACAGCTGATAGCTTTGCATGCTACTTTACTGACAAGGTTGAACAGCTAAGGAAAAAATTCTCCCCACCTTGCCATTCTCTTTCTTAACCCCACGTAGATCATACCTTTCCTACCCTTCAGACTTTCTCACCTGCTACTGAACAAGAGGTGGCTGCGCTTCTTCTTTCCTCTCGCCCCACCACTTGCCCGCTTGATCCTGTCCCATCTCACCTTATCAAATTTCTCTCCTATTGTCTTGTGCCTTCCTTAACACACATCTTCAACTGCTCTCTCTCTCTTCTGGCGTTGTCCCTGCTGACCTTAAACATGCCACTATGGTTACTATTCTGAAAAAAAAATATCTCGACCCGTCCTTCCCCTCTAACTATCGTCCCATATCCCTGCTCCCTTTTTCCTCAAAACTTCTGAATTGCTTGCCTTTCTTCTATCTCTGACTGGATGTCCTTCTGAAACTCAATCTCTATAAAACTGAGCTCCTTGTCTTTTCTATTCCTAATACTGATCCTCCTCTTTCGCTCTCCCTTGGTATCCACTTGGTATCCACATAAGTCCATCATTGCAAGCGTGCTGTCTTGACGTCATACTTGATTCTGGCCTCACCTTTGAGCCTCACATCCAGTATGTTGCCAAATCCTGTAGATTCCATCTTAAAAACATAACCCGCATCTGCCCCTTTCTTACACAAGTTGCTACTAAGGCGCTTGTCCATGCTCTAGTAATTTCCCCACATGGATTATTGTAACCCTCTCCTAATTGGTCTTCCGAAAAGTCATATTGCCCCGCTACAGTCTGTAATGACTGCTACCACCAGACTAATTTTCCTATCTAGTCGGTTCTCTCAGACCTCACCCCTCTGTCAGTCCTTACATTGGCTTCCTGTATCCTATAGGAGTCAATTAAAAGTACTAACCCATGGCTATAAAGCATTGAACAATTTCTGCCCCTCTTATATCTCATCACAGATCCATAGCAATGCTCCTTCTCGGTCTCTCCGCTCTGCCCGTGACCTTCTCCTGTCCACTGCTCACACCCGTACAGCCAACTATGGAATAACCTGCCTACTGCCATCAGACTCTCCCCTAGTCTTCAATAGTTTAAGAAGTGCCTTAAAACCCATCTCTTTAGGAAAGCTTATGGCCTCCCAGAGTAACCTCTACCTTACATACCTGTCTCTTGCTATCTCCTAAAGGGCAGCACTTTACTCTCTCCTCCAGTTCTGCTTCACTCCCACCTTATTTGATTACTATTTCTTGTCCTAATGTGTTTTATATCATAACTCCTATAGACTGTAAGCTATTTTGAGCAGGGTCCTCTTCAATCTATCGTTCCTGTAAGTTTTCTTGTAATTGTCCTATTTATAGTTAAATCCCCCCTCTCATAAGATTGTAAAGTGCTACAGAATCTGTTGACGTTATATAAATGGCAATAATAAATAAAATGCAGTAATATTTTGCCTACCGTTATATATGGTCATATCCATCCATCCAACACCTTCTTGTTGGTAGCCATTCATGTCATCTGTGAACGGATAACCTGCCTCCTGAGCTGCTTTAATAAATGCATTGTGGAGAATATGATTGGTTTTCCCACGTGAGACATATAGTGGTCCATGTCCACCCCTGTAGTTGTCAGTGCCGAGCTCATGTGTCTGAGCCTTTTTAAAGTAAGGTAAGCAATGACTGTAGTCCCATCCAGTAGCCCCTTCTTGACTCCATCTATTATAATCTTCCGCATGGCCACGTATATATACCATAGCATTCAAAGATGATGATCCACCCCAAACTCTCCCTCTAGGCCAATACATAACCCTACTATCCATGTGTTTCTGAGGTACTGTATGATAAAACCAATTGTATTTATCATTACAAAGATTGTATATGAGGGCCGCAGGCATGTGGATCTTCCATGACAATCTCTTGCAGCCAAAGAGTAGATCTTTTGGACCTGCCTCCAAAACAAGTACAGAGTCATCAGGATTCTCAGACAGGCGGTTGGCTAAAACACATCCGGCAGATCCAGCACCCACTATGATATAACTGTAATGATCATCTTTCTCTGAATGAACAGTGGAAAATGCACTGCAACGTGAGGCTCCAGAACCACCCAAAGATTGCAAGAGATTTGCGTTGTGCCATATTGCTTGGGGAGACTTCACCCTTCTGGCTAAATACTTAGAGTAGTGTTTAATGACCTTGAAAACCAGAGCCATCCTTTACAGTACCAGTTGATTGTGAGTTGAAAATATCTAAATTACAAGACAAAAATATTAAATACATACTGTACATGCATAAATAAAAATAGTATTTTTGCTGAGAGCTCCAGAAAGTCAATCAATTCTCACTGGACCTCCTCAGCACCATTAGTTTTTAATAAAGTGTATTTATGTTTGTACTTTATGATCTGCAACAAATGATCAGTAGCAACATTACACCAACCCAAGAACAACAAATAGTATTATTGTAACATAAATCATCTCCACTACTGCCTATATCTTTAATTATTATTTTCCATCTCTGCTATTCTGGTCTAAAATTTGTCAACGCTTCACAATCAAATAAACCAGTTTATGTCACCCCATGGTAACTGTGAAAATGGGTGTTTGCAAGATTATTATTATTTTATTATATTTATATAGCGCCATCAGATTTCGTAGTGCTGTACAATGGGTGGACTAACAGACATGTAATTGTAATCTGACAACTGGACATACAGAAACATGGAGGTTTACAATTTCAAAAAGGCAAATTTTAATAAGATTGCGGCAGCTTTACAACATATTGAGTGGTACAAACTCTTTAGTAAAAAAAAAAAATCACTGCTGATAAACGGTTTATCTGAAAACAATTATTAAAAAGGTACACTTCTCAGTATGTATCATTGGGTAATAAATATGAAATAAACAAAATGAAAGCAATGTGGCTTAGTGGAATGATAAACTAATACATTAAAAATTAGAAAAGGGCATTTAAAACATTTAAATCAGAGGCATCCTAAATATAATATAAGGAATCCTATAATAAAAAAGGTGATTACATGGACTAAACTAGAAAATAAGAAAGTGACAGCCAAACAGAGAAAAACCAACCCCCCAAGAGTTTTTTTTGTTTTTTTTTAAAATTCTTTATTTTTTCTTTTGCATAGATTAACAAGTGTGCAGTGCCACGACAGCATCTACTGGCAATTGCATGACATTTCAATGTGTGGCATTTTAGACAGCACAATTTTTTAATTTATTTTTTAATAACGTGAGGGTAACAGGCTTTTATAATGTAACACGCTAGACTAGAAATGCATATATCAAAACTTGTTGTGCTTGAGATTGTATGTGCGTAGCTTGTAGCATTGAAAGCACAGTAAGTAGTGTGACAGTTTATTATACTAGCAGAGGTGTCTTTATACTGTGTGAGGCAAGCTATTTGTTTGGTTGCGTACCTATATAATGCCTAAGAAAAAAGAAAATTAAAATATTAGCTAGATCCCACCTAGTAATGTGTGCTGTTGTTTGCTACTTAACACCACAGTGGGAGAAATTGAGTAAGCACTAAAGAACATAAACAATACAAAAAAAACACATGCTGTGGTACAAGCTTATAGTATTAGAACACCCTGCCGCCCCATCAACAGACGTTTGAGCTCCAATGTCCCTGGCAGTGGAATGAGGCAGGAATCTGCACAACCGGTGTGGCCCTTGGTGGTATGCGCAGTCATTGTTGTTCGGTGTCCGCTCTGTGAAGGTGGAGGGTTGGGAAGTGATGTGCACCTCTGCCTTCTAGCTGTTTGAATCCCTCCTGCTGCGGCTAGTAAGTGTTGCCATGTGAGCGCTGTGGGCTGAAGGCTGGAGTGGTGTCGTGCCTCGTGTGCCGTTTGCCTGTGTCGGGCAGAGGGTTTGTCAGCCGGGTCTGGTGAGTTGGTGCTGCGTCGCTTGTAGCCCCTCCGCCCTCTTTGCTGTGTGCGGGTGTAAGAATCACCAAGCCTTGGCTTGGCATGTAACGTTGTGGTGTCCCCACTGATCAGGCTGCCAGTCATAGGTACGTGGGGCCTGCCCTGTGTTTGTGGGGATTGCAGTCCTCTGGGGGCGATAGGTGGCAGGCTCCCTGGTGTGAGTTGGCAGGGTTTATCAGCTTGCCTGGGTCTTGGGATCTCCGTTGCGGAGGGGATTGCAGGGTGTGGGCCGGGATCACCCCCACCGGCTCAGGGGGGGAGACAGGGCCTGGACCGCCAATCCAAGGGAGTCCGGCTGCCGTCCACACCACTCACCGCCTGAGTAGGCCTCATCCCATGGGGACGACGTATATCTCTCCGAGGGACTGAAACAAATACTGCGAGCCTCTCCCCGGGTCCAGTGCTTCTCCGTGTGCCGGCCCATCGCACTTGGTCGGCTGGAAGGATCAGTAAGTCAGTTTTTGGGGCCTAAAAAGGCAGAAAGTTGTCGGAGCCGTTGTTCCATGCGACCAGCCAGCATGGCAGTCAGCCCCCCCCCCCCCCCAAGAGTTTTAAGTGCATCAATTCTAAAAATAAAACAACACAAAATTAAAGTGTAGATACACTGAAAACAGAGATGGGTGTGTGCCAGGAAAAGGCAGAAATTTGAAATACCTATTTTTCCTCAGTATATATTAAGGAAGGAGGAACTTGTGGCAAGAGATATGTAAATAAGTTGCTGCAAAATCTTGCAGAACAATTGTGATTGGATGACTCAAGACACACTAAAGAAAGTTGACGTAAACAAAGCTCCAGGGCCTGATGGTATGCACCCATAAATCTAAAGGCTGCAGCTAAGTCCTCTGTCAACCTCCTCCACCCTTTGGCATTTTTGATATCACTAGGGTGGAGGAGTTTGACAGGGGACTTAGCTGCAGCCTTTAGATTTAAATTTTCCTCCGTGATAGCCACCCAGCTTTATTATTGTATTATGCTTAGTCAGGTAGCCGGGCGGATTGATCGGCTCTTGTTAAATTACAGAGGGGAATGAGAGTGTGCTGACAGTGGGCAAGGGTGATGGGAGTTGGGGGATACTCTTCTGAGAATCATTACTATACCTCCTATTTATATTTATCGTTATTAACTTTCTTTTCTCTACATTTATACCCCTATACCCCTGTACTACTGGTGTTGCAATTTGATATAGGCAGCACGGTCAAGGTATCACTTTCTCTTACTTTTGTATTTTTATTATAATATTTAATTTACTCTCAGTTATTTTAACTTTATTTATTAAAAGTTATATTTTATTATTATTTTTCTGAGATGACTATTTTTCTGATAATATACAAGATCCTTAAAGTGAATGCTGTTAGACATTCTTTTACTTTTTGGAATTCTTGTATGTGTTCTCCTTTTTTTTTTTTAGTAATTTAAGTGTAGGGGTTACCCCCATTATAATTTAGCAACCTGATATACTCTCTCTACTTCCTGTCTCTCCATCTTTGCAGCTTTTTAAATATATTCTTTATATTCAAAAAGGGTTCAAAATCTTTGCCTGAAAATTATAGACCTGTGAGCATAACATCTGTGACTGGGAAAGTATTAGAAACGTTAATAAGGTATAATATTCAGGAATTCACTAGGAAAAATATTATTAGCCAACAACGTAATTTAATTCTGCAAATAGGTAAGTAGAAGTATAGGTTGCTGCAGTGGATATGATCTACTTGGATTTTGCCAAGTTCCACACAATAGGTCAGTGTTTAAACTAAAAGAAATTGGTCTAGATGAGCAGTCCCCAACCTGTGGTATGTATAACCCTTGGGGTACGAACCAGTACCCCCTAGGGAATGCACAAAATATTCTGCAGGGGCGGCCCACAGGCTGAGGAGCCCATTGGGTGATCCATGCACTTTGGGTCATCCGATGAACATGTGCCATCGGGGGCCAGGTTGTGCTTAAACAGCACGACTGGGCCCTTCTAAGGGTCGCAGTGCTGGGAGGAAGTGACAGCCCGTTTAAATAATAGGTGAGTCTTACACTAACAATTCACCTTCCTTTATTAAGCTGAAAAACAATATCTCTAATATCTGACAAATTAAGTCATTCACAAGTAACCTTTTCTTTGTTTTTTTTTATTGTATGCATTGTGGCTGATGTGTACTGTATTGCTGCCGTCCATGAGTAGTGGGAGTCTGAGCGCAGGACTTATTTTTGTGTATTTGTATTTGCTTTGGTATCACACAGCCAGCCATGTTACAATGCTGCCACTTACACCATGTGCTCCCTATTAAGGGTTCATAATTGTGTAGGGGTTTAGAAAAATGTCCTTCTCTGTCTCATTAGTGATATTGCGAACTTGTCGGGAAAAATGGCATCAAATGTATTATCCCAAAATACAATACATTTTACTATTGAAATAATATTGCTAAAAATGAAGATAGCTAATGGATGTTAAGATATTCAAACTTGGCACAAAAGGCTGGGTAACTGTAATTACCATGACATTGCAAAGTTACTTAATGAAAGGAATGAAGATGAAGGGTAAAACTTATAGTTGTGCTCAAAAGTTTACATACCCTTGGAGAATTGGTAATATATGTACCACTTTTAAAGAAAACATGAGTGAGCAGGCAAAACACATTTATTTTATTTCTTATGGGATTCATATTCAACTGTAGGTCAAAAGAGAATGACACAATCATAAAATAAAACATGGCAACAAAGTAAAAAATTAAATGACCCCTGTTCAAAAGTCTGCATACCCTTAGTTCTTAATACTGTGTATTGCCCCCTTTAGCATCAATGACAGCGTGCAGTCTTTAGTAATAGTTGTCTATGAGGCACCTAATTCTTGCAGATAGTATAGCTGCCCACTCGCTTTGGCAAAATGCCTCCAGGTCATGCAAAGTCTGGTCGTCTTGCATGAACCGCACGTTTGTGATCTCCCCAGAATGGCTCAATGATATTAAGGTCAGGAGACTGTGAGGGCCACTCCAGAACCTTCTCCTTTTTCTGCTGTAACCACTGAAGCAGGGGTGTATTTACCCTGAGGCTGACAAGGCATTTGGCTTTCCAGGTGGGCGGCGAGGGAGCACTGATCCTCCTGTTCAGCTCCCTCCCGCGCACCGCAGTGATGCCGGAGCCGGAATATGACATCACTCTGGCCCCTACATCGCTACGCGGCACTCGAGGGAGCTGAACAGGAGGATCAGTGCTCCCTCGCCAACTGCAGTGACCAGCTGGCCACCCAGCAGCGCCACTGGACCCCAGGGAAAGTGAGAATCCACCCCAGCACTCCTAAAGGTAGGGAGGCTGGGGGGATTTAATTTTGTTTTTATGTGAGTGGGTTTGTGTGTGTCTGTTAGTGAGTGTGTGTGTCTGTTAGTGAGTGTGTTACTATGTGTGTGTGTGTGTGTGTCTGTTAGTGAATGTGTTAGTATGTGCATGTCTGTTAGAGAGTGTTAGTGTGTGTGTATGTTAGAGAGTGTGTGTGAGTGTGTGTGTCTGTTAGTGTGTGTGTGTGTCTGTTAGGGAGTGTGTTACTATGTGTGTGTCTGTAAGTGTGTGTGTGTCTGTTAGTGAGTGTGTTAGTATGTGTGTGTCTGTTAGTGAGTGTGTTAGTGTGTGTGTCTGTTAGGGAGTGTGTTACTATGTGTGTGTCTGTTAGTGAGTGTGTGTGTCTGTTAGTGTGTGTGTGTCTGTTAGGGAGTGTGTTACTATGTGTGTGTCTGTTAGTGTGTGTGTCTGTTAGTGTGTGTGTGTTACTGTGTGTCTGTTAGTGAGTGTGTTACTGTGTGTCTGTTAGTGAGTGTGTTAATGAGTGTGTGTCAGTTAGTGTGTTAGTGTGGATGCATGTCTGTTAGTGAGTGTGTATGCATGTATGTTAGTGACTGTGTATGCTTGTCTGTTAGTGAGTGTGTGTGTTTTTCAACTGTAGGGTAATAGCTTCTTGACCCAAGGATAAATCTGACTGCCATTCTGAGGGTTTTTTTCCTCCATTTTTTTGGAAAATTGGAAGGGATTCAAATTTATTTTGCCTTCTTATGGATCAACGGCAAAAAATAAATGTGAGGAAGGCTGAACTTGATGGACACATGTCTCTTTTTACCTATGTAACTATGTGTCTCACTCCTCAATGCATCTCATTTCGTCCCCCACAGCCCCTCCATGTCTCTAATTCCTTCCTCAACCCCTCCATGAGTCTCATTTCCCCCCAGCCCCTCCATGTCTCTCATTCCTTCCTCAGCCCCTCCATGTCTCTAATTCCTTCCTCAGCCCCTCCATGTGTCTCATGCCTTCCTCAGCCCCTCCATGTGATCCCTCAGCACACGCTGTGAAGCATATTTCCGTTGCAGACACTTGCCACAAGGTGCTGCTGATGCACATCCCTTTCTGTCCCCCTTCTAATACACACACACACACACTGCTTAATACATAGACACAAACTGCTTAATACAGACAGACACACACTGTTTAATACATAGATACACACATACATAGACACACACACTGCCTAATTCATAAACAAACACACTGCTTAATACATAGACACATGCACACTGCTAAATACACAAATACACATACTCACAGCAGACAGCCCTCCCTGCTCCCTTATATAGAAACATAGAAACATAGAATGTGACGGCAGATAAGAACCATTTGGCCCATCTAGTCTGCCCAATTTTCTAAATACTTTCATTACTCCCTAGTCTTATCTTATAGTTAGGATAGCCTTATGCCTATCCCACGCATGCTTAAACTCCTTTACTGTGTTAACCTCTACCACTTCAGCTGGAAGGCTATTCCATGCATCCACTACCCTCTCAGTAAAGTAATACTTCCTGATATTATTTTTAAACCTTTGTCCCTCTAATTTAAGACTATGTCCTCTTGTTGTGGTAGTTTTTCTTCTTTTAAATATAGTCTCCTCCTTTACTGTGTTGATTCCCTTTATATATTTAAATGTTTCTATCATATCCCCCCTGTGTCGTCTTTCCTCCAAGCTATACATGTTAAGTTTACCTACCTCAGATGGGGGCCGGAGGCACTGAAAGCATCCCATTACACATAGTGTGGTATCTCTTACAGGGCACGGGGCGGCAGCTGCGCCCTTTTGCTACCCTGCTCTTTAAGGGTAAAGACTAATCTAGGGGGAGCTTGCCCTCCTTTAGCAATGCCTATTGGAGGAGTGTAACATATTCACAGCATGGGGATATGCATTTTGCTGCCCCTGCACCGGCCTACTCTGCCTGTTACATTTTTAGGTGCCCCCCACCCTTTCTAAGGAGTTAAAATGAGGTTTTACTCACCTTTTCTCCCTCACTGCACTCAGTGACCGCCACTAGAGGCATTGAGATCCTGCACTGTAAACATTACCATTACCGCCAAATGGCAATTCCAGGTTGATCAATTACACCGAATAAAGAACAAAATCAGCACTACTACAACAATATGATGTGCCAAAATCAACAACACAACATAAGAGGGAAAGAGAGAGAGAGAAAGGAAGAAAGAAAAATAAAGAAATCAATGACATATTTGAGAACAACAGGTTAATGACACGTCACCTTTTGCCACTGCAAATGCCACTGTCAGAGCTTTACAAGATGGATCAATTTTGTTAAATGTACATCTTGTGATCTCTGAGTATCAATTTCTACATTGTGTGACTAACAAGAACCACTGAAGTCAAGCCTGGTATTCAGTTGATAACAATTTCTAAGTTTCGCGGCCTAACTGGCGGAAAAAAAGATGGTGACAATTTTGGATCAATTTGAACACACGTGCCATACTAACAATTTATTGATGTACGATCAAATACTGATATTGGATTGCAGTTAGTGTAATGTAATGTTTACAGACTTGTCCATCTATTATACAGCACTGCAGAAAATGTTGGAGCTTTATAAATAAGAATCTCTCTAAAATCAGCCTTCTGTGTCACCCCGTAACTCTGCTACAAATGTCGTCTTAGAGAAACATCACAAGGAATGAAACAGCAAAGGGTTTAATTTTATATTAAACCGTGCAAACAATGCTGTGTGCACCTCTCAGGAGGATAGTTGAAGTATATTTAACAAGCAATGTGTTCCTGAGCGTACAAACTGCCACGACAATGTTGTCAAGTTCAGTTAAGGACAAACAAAAAAACTTCTGCTTTTTAAAGGAATTAATAGAAACATATCCGATCATACAGCCCCCTTACCTTATCACAGAACTCTGTCACTTGATATGAACATTTGTGTTGTAGACAGCGACAGTTTTCATAGCTGATTGTTGTGAAATTCAGATTATTCCTGCACTTTCTTTGCCAAGATACTTTTCTAATACAGTATGTGCGTTAGAGGGAAGGGCTAAAGTTTAAACTGGCACAGGTTCAGGATTGTGTACTGCTAAATGAAAACCATAATTTGGAAATGTTATGTTGCTTTCGAATTTGAACTCGTGGTTCATTGACCAGCCAGAGGTCTTGGAATTTGTCCACCTTCTGCATAATAATTAAACTTTCAGGTAAAACTATTAATCACTAAGGAGGAGGAAGATTTTCTTTTTTTAAGATGAAAAAACATTGGTTTCTAAACAGTGTTAATTTTGTTGACTAACAATTTTAGTCAGATTTTAGTCAACTAAAACTAAAACTATTGAGATGACTAAACTATGACTAAAACTAAAATGGCATTTTAGTCAAAAGACAATGACTAAATTAACAATGCACAGAGGGGCTGTGGAAGGGGCAAAAGAGACACACCAGGGCTTGGGAGAGAGACACCTAGTGGGACTGGGAGGACACAAAGGGGCTGAGGAAGTTGCAAAAGAGACAGAGGCTTTTACTAAAACCATTACATTTTAGTTGTGTCGACTAAAATCTACTGGAGATTTAGTTGACTAAAACTAAAACAATACAGATGACTACAATATGACTAAAACTAAAATTACTGTTTAATCTAAAGACTATGACTAAAATTAAATTGAAATTTGCCATGTTTTATTCTTTTTGCCGTGACGAGAAGAGCAAGGCTACCTTGGTGGAAGGGGTCAGTGCTTTCAGTATTATGGGGGGGGGGAGGTGGTAAGGAACACTATGGGAAAGGGGAGGGTGAAAAGATCACTATTGGACAGGAAAGGGGGAGTGGTAAGGAACACTATGGGACAGGGGAGGGGCGTGGTAAGGAACACTATGGGAAAGGGGAGGGGGAAAAGATCACTATTGGACAGGAAAGGGGGAGTGGTAAGGAACACTATGGGACAGGGGAGGAGGGTGGAAGAACACTATGGAACAGGGGAGGGGGGTGGAAGTACGCTATGGGACAGGGGAGAGGGGTGGAAGAACACTATGGGACAGGAGGGAGAAATAACACTATGGGACAAGGGGGGGTAAGAACTCTATGGAACAGGGGAAGGGGGTGGTAAGGAACACTGCGGAACCAGTAAAACACTATGGGATAGGGAGGAAAGAACACTATAGGTTGGGGGAAGAACACAAAAAGAGGAGGGAGAGGAACACTAGGGGTAGAGAGGAACATTAAAGGGGGAGGGGCTCTTGGGGTACAGGGGAAAGGGAAAAGGGAACACATGTGGGGGGGCACTAAAAGAGGAGGGAGATGAACATTAAGGGGAATAAGGGGGGCACTAAGAGTCAGGTAAGGGGGGCATGTAGGGGAGGAGAAAGGAACCCAGGGGGCGCTGAGTGGTAGAGAAAGACACACAAAGGGGCTGGAGAAGAGGAAAAGGAGACACATAGGGGCTGGGGGGTAGATAGATGGGCTTGGGATGAAAGAGAAACACACAAAGGAGCTGGTAAGAGTAAAAGACACAAAGGGGCTGGGAGAGAAGGAGACAGACAAAGGGGATGGAGGAGTAAGACACACAAAGGGGGGGTTGTAAGAGATACACAAGGGAGGTGTAAGACACTTAATGGGGAAAATTGTGGATAAGATATACTAAAGGGGGTAAGGCATTTAAAAAATGGGATAAGAAACAAAGGTGGGTTAAGGGGCACACAGGTGAAGATGATTTTGGGTGGGTGGGGGGACGCGCCAAAATCATCTTCGCCTGTGTACCTAAAAATCCTTGCACCAGCCCTGCCACTAGGGATAAGATATACTAAAGGGGGTAAGGCATTTTAAAAATGGGATAAGAAACAAAGGTGGGTTAAGGGGCACACAGGTGAAGATGATTTTGGGTGGGTGGGGGGCCAAAATCATCTTCGCCTGTGTACCTAAAAACCATGGGGTTGGGCGTAATCCTCACAAATATTGGATGATGACGTTGGCCGTAGCATGGGGCAAGATTCAAGAAACTGCTTAGAAATATTAGAATTACCAAGCAAATAAAAATACAATAATAGTGTACTAAGCAACATGTAGCGGAGATGCAATATTCCCCAGGTTGTCTCCGCTTATAATCCAAGTGAGGCTCAGGAACAAGTAAATAATAAATCCATAGGCAAAGTTTCCAGCAGGTAAAATAACAGCAACCTCCCCACAGCAATCCCAATAACTGGACGACACACAGTTTCAGGAGCAGAACTGACAAGCCTTAATCACAGTCTCCTTATAAAGCATGCTCCCATGCAAGGGAGGGATTTACAGTAATTATTACAGTAGCCAATCCTGTCCTGGTAACCTCCCACACATCTCCTCCCCTCAGCCAGCATCATAATCCCCTTATCCAGTACACCAATTCCCCTCGTTTCTGGATGTACCCCTAAACGTAGGGGTACCTCTTTAAATCCTACATCCCCTGGTAGCCCTGATCTGGGTGAACAACATATCCAAAACCCACCCAGATCAGACCAGGGGTTCGGGAAAAGTATGGAGGGAATAAAATGACCGACCGCACGAACTGAGATAGCCGAATTCGGTTCCATGTGAATGGGCCTTGCGGTCGGTCCTGGCATAAGGGAATAAAATACACGAAAGCCTCTAGCTATAGAGGTTAGGGAGGGTTCGCCTGAATCCCCTCGTTCGGTATTCTCTATCTACCGAACGAGGGGCCGTTCGGTAGTTTGGAACCGAACGGACCAGGGCTGTGGAGGTCTCAGCGGTGTTCGCCTACTCGAGTGTCCGATTTTAGTTCCAGACACTCGACCGACCGCACGAACTGAGATAGCCGAATTCGGTTCCATGTGAATGGGCCCTGCGGTCGGTCCTGGCATAAGGGAATAAAATACACGAAAACCTCTAGCTATAGAGGCTAGGGAGGGTTCGCCTGAATCCCCTCGTTCGGTATTCTCTATCTACCGAACGAGGGGCCGTTCGGTAGTTTGGAACCGAACGGACCAGGGCTGTGGAGGTCTCAGCGGTGTTCGCCTACTCGAGTGTCCGATTTTAGTTCCAGACACTCGACGGCTAAACACCGCTGTTCGGGAGTTTTAAAATGGCCACGTGTTCGTTTGTCGAATGGCGGCCACCCCCGAGAACAAAGGACGGCTACTTACTGTTCAATTACCCGTTCGCAACAATGTTGCAACGGGTAATTGAGGACACACTTCACACAGGGGAGGTCTGGTTGTTCGGTAGTTTCATTCGAATAAACTAAGGGAACGAAACTACCGAACAATCACAAGAATACAAGGCTTTAAAACACATAGGAAACTAACAGATCACACGAATGCATTTATTTCACAGACATTTGCAGGACAGCCCAGTGCCATCCGCTACACAATAAAAATGCATAATGTGTCTCTATGATGAACAATGTATTTATTGCTTAATGCAACTTTACCCTTTCAAACAAACCAGGCATAAAAAGTTCACTTTAAAGAGTTCAGTGAATCGCCCCTATTTACATAAAAAACAGAACAGAAAAAAGGGACAATGAGTAGAGAAGAAATGCAGGGGTCAGGGTCCAAGTTCTAAGATGAGATTTTGGAGAAATTAAAATCCAGAATTAGTAAATGCAAGAAAAAAAAAACAAAAAAAAAACTTTTACAGTGCAGATGGCATAACTAAATCTTCGAATTCAGGGAAGGAGAGATATATCTGGATGTCATACAGATGGCAGCGGAGCCAAACGGAATTAATACGTTTGTCAATAGAGGCGCTATAAAGAGAAAACAAAAGAACAGAACAAATTAAAACTTGGCTTTAGTAAATATGAGAAATGTCATTGTGGCAGAAATTTGGCCATTTTCACTGGATTTTTTCCATCTTGCCAAAATCTGGTATTTAGCGAATAACCCTGTTAGTGAATTCAACAATTAAAAGGACTTAAAAATCACTTGACATTTTTTCCAAAGGTTTTATTAATATAATATTTCTTTGCACACGAGGAGAACGAACACCACAAACACTTCCTCTGACTTCATAGCTTGCTTACAATTCATTATTCATCAAATAACTAAATTAAATGAAAAATAAGCAGTGGAACTATAACATAACCTGGAAAAAATCAATAACATAACACATATGCATGTGCACAATATATGAAAAGTCTGTTTAAACACCTTAAAGAAACACACACAAGAAAAAACAAAAAACATATATAATATTTTCCTTGTGTATTGTGCAGAATAGTTTGTTTTTGCTTTTTTCAAATGTAATACAATTAAAGAATCTTTTTACTTTTACGCCAGAAAGCTCTCAAAAACAAAACATATCTAGACCAGTGATCTTGTATGCAAAATGGTTAATGGTTTATTCCTAGTAAGGCTAAATATTAACCTTTCACATTTTAAAGCAGTGGATTATTATATCACAAGGTTCAGAGATTAATCCTCTGTGTACATGAAGTTACCAATTTCCCCACATAAACCGCCAGTGTAGGATATTATTAAGAATATTGTCCTGCATTGAACCAACAATTTATATTAAAGCAATGCTTATAGGAGCACTATAGTACCAGGAAAACAAACTATAGGGTCATTAGGTCCACCCCACCCTCAGCCCCCCTACTGCTGGGCTGAAGGGGTTAAAACCCCTTCAGCCACTTACCTTTCTCCAGGGCTGGGCTCCCTCTGTGCTGAGGAACTCCACAAGAGCCACTTGCGCCTTCAAACCACCCATAGGAAAGCATTACTTAATGCTTTCCTATGGATGTACAGCGTCTTCTCCCTGTGATTTTCATAGCGGCTGTCAGTAAGTTTCTCTGAAACTGCTATGTTTACAGCTGCAGGGTTAAAACTAGAGGGACCTGGCACCCAGACCACTTCATTGAGCTGACGTGGTCTGGGTGCCTATAGGGGTCCTTTAACTCCTTTGTGACAGCACACATTCATTATGAGTTCCACACCAAACATATACTCCATCCCGTTAAACTCAGATTTTATTAATGTAGTGAGATGTGATATCATTCTAAACAGGTAAGGATTTTTACTTATCTGACACACAGCGCTGGGTAAAGCTCCCTGTGCTGTATTCTACGCCCTGTCTTGACACCATCTCTGCACTTGTGTGTTCCAATCACAGGCATTGCATAGAGAAAGCTGT